TCACGCACAACGTGGACCATGCCAAACAGCTGTGAACAAATCGATATTGAGAGACACCCAACATAGCATAATTGGGCCTAGCTCTGATACCATGTTAGGAATATTGAGTCTAACTCCACTTAATAAAACTGGCTTATTAGAGAAGGATTGCCCTCACCTTATTAAGTGGATAATTTATATTTTCCCAAACAATGTGGGATTCTAATAATAACCATATAAAATCATGTTCCTGATGCATATCATTTCCGTAGGTGAAACTTAAATTGCATTTATATCTTCGTTTTATTTGAAAGGGAGTCATTTTATATAATTAGAAGTTAGAAAACATGTGTCTTTTTTATATGAATTATCATTAGCTTATTCAAAAGTTAAACCATCATTGATCACGTGTTAACCATCAACCAGATCATGTATATTAAGACTCTTAAGTTGATCTTTGTTCCACTCCATAGGTTGACGTCTTCTGTCCAATTTTCGTAAATCAACCCATGCATTAATTTTATCTAGAAAACTAGTCTGGATAACTGTATTACTATTTATCTTATGTGCTTCAATTGATGCTCATCTTGATTGCAGTTATGGATTATACAGGTAAAAGCAGAAAATTTATAAAGAGAGATGCTGATGCTCCCGATATTCACCTTGATACATTTGCACCACTGATTTCATTTACCAATTCAGACCATGATTCACCCACGTCTTGTCTAAGCCTCTCCAATCTAAAAGAAACTCGATGTGGCTTGGCTGAAAATTTAGATTCTTTGGATTCTGTATCTTCATCTTCATCAGTCTCTTCCTCTGGCGGTTTCTTCCAACTCAACCCTCAAATATTGACCAACCATAGCATGTCTAGTGCATCACCCAAGCTCAAAGGGGAAGTCAAATCATTGTGTGAAAGTGACAAAGTCAATGTTTCAAATGAGGTATTGTTCATCTTGGAAGAATCTTCTAGCAAGTCTCCAGGATCCACCTCGCTGGTATCTGATGTCAGTCATGAATCTTTTCTGCCGAACACATCACCAACGCAATTGCCTCCCATCCAAGTGATGGAAAGGCCAGGAGATTTTAATCCTCATAGGATCCCACCTTCTGTTTTTGGTATACCCTCGACACCAATGGAGTGGAGTGAGGTTTCCAATGATTCATTGTTCAGTATTCATATTGGGAACCAGGTTTCCAGGATTAGTGGGGACTCGTACAGATCAGGGGAAATATCCAAATCTGGAGATATTCTTGAATATGGGGAATCATACCAGCCTGGGGAATTTTATAATTCTCAAGGACTGGTAACATCCAATGAGTCAATTACAAGGTTTGACCATGCCTCTGCAGCAGCTAAAGGAGTAGAACCAGAAAATAATTCTGGTGTAGTGAAGACTATCGGTGCAGAGAAGAACTTTGGAGCAACAGAGTTTGTATATGAATCGACTTACAAATTTCACGAGGCTGGTATCAATAATCTAGACAAAGAAAGTTTAGAAGATCCCGTGGATTCTTATAGTGCCAACTGTCAAACTGATGGAAACACAGTTAGCAACTTAACATTAGCTTTTCCAACGTCAGTTTCATTCTTTGTTATAATAATCTGAAATAGCCAATGTTCTCTTCTTTTATTGCTTTACTTATAACTTAACTTGCATGTCTTTAGCTACATCTACGAGTTCCCACCAGAGCAAAAAATGTGCTTACAACTTCTTCACATATTATTAATGTTATTTTATACTTGTATTGGGTTCTTGTGTGAGTTTATTGACCCACTCTTTATAATTCTACTTGTTAAATAAAAAATTTCTTTACTCAATGTGTATCAGTATATGTTTTTTTATCGGAGACAATGGCTTTTTTTTCCCACAAAAATCTGGATTTCCCATATGTTGTTCTTTGTGAATGAGAATCTACCCTTTAGACAAGTTTATTACACAGTACTCGAGAGGATTGGACTGTACAGTAAAGAGATATTAGCTTTCTTTCTTTCTTGATTTGTAAGTATTGTACAATCCACCTTACCAAACAAACCATTTGTGTGCTGCAGAAAGAAGCCTGCATGTCCGTTATGCCATTGTTCTAATTGCAACTCAACGTTCTGCTGTTGTAAATGGCCAAGCTGCAGCTTTAAGTGGCCCAAGTGCTGCCAGAAATGCTCTGGCTGCTCTTGCAAGTGGTTTAGCTTTCCGGGCTGCTTGAGATGTTGCTTAACATTTCCAAGCTGTGGTTGTAAGTGGCTGAGGTGCTGTTGTAAATGGAAGTGCTGCAACTGCAAGGTAGCCGGCCCAAGGTGCCATTGCAAGTGTCCAACCTGGCCGAGCTGCCACTGTAAGTTCCCAACCTGGTCGAGCTGCTGCTGCAAGTGCCCATCACGGTCGACAAGTTTCTGTTGCTCGTGCCCCTTTTTGTGGAGCTGCTGCTGCAAGTGCCCATCTTTGTCGAGCTGTAAGTTCCACCATTCCATTGCAGCTTGATGTTCTGCTATCGATGGAATGGTAAACCAAAAAGAACCTCTGATGATCCTTCTTTCAAGTATGCTTCTTTCTATCCTTTGCCACAAATAGTGTTGCTTGTTGAATAATAATTATTACCTATTCGATGTTTTCTTGACTTCTCGTCTAATTTATGGTGTATTTATCGTATGGATTCTTGACGGATAATAATAGCATACTTAATAGTATTGTTAATCTATGAGCATAGTGAAGTAATTTATGTTGATGCAATGCAGTTTGCCTGATGGGAAAATAAACTTTACTAAGAGATGATATCCTAAGCAGTGCATGATATCGCCATGCTCCATGAAGGCATTGAAGGCAGCATTAAGAAAGTGGTGCTCTTGCTTTTCTTGCTCTTCTTCCTTCACGAGAAAAAGAGAGCTTTACCCTTTTCTCCTGTCACATCTTACTGAATATGCTAACTAATCTCTGTTGGATACCTAGAACCAACAAAAAGATATGGTAAAGATAAGGTTTAGAGACTAATTAAAGACGAAGTAGTTCCTGGTCTAAATGTGTAGGTCTCCTCTAATAGAACAACTAATTATCCCATTTTATGTAAAGATAGTCAGAAGTAGGTATTGTATTTTCCCTTAGCTACTTGGTCCTTCTGCAGTCACTGCTGCTTCTGAGCTTAGAGAAGAAAAAGAGGTAAACAAAGGCTGTCCATTGTGGAATCCTCAACTTGTAATGTGGTTCTGGACAAAGTCGGGAATCGGATTTGGACATTATATTCTTTTTCCCCAGAAGAACTTGTTCTTATCGACTATTTCGTCCATGTTCTATTAGGCTTTGATCTGTATGCAATACATTGATAATTAATCATGCTAGATTAACCTAGTCCATGATTTTGCAATATTTTTTTATATATGTAAACTCAATTGCTTAAATTCGATGTCATGCTCACATCACCATGTCGTAATACGTCAGCATGCATTATTTTTACTCATTTTTCATTTACTGCTTCATCCTGATTTGTTACTCTGCCTGACAGTAACAACATTTTTTTGACTCTTGCTAACAATAAGCAATTAATGACAGCCTAATCTCAATCAGATTTCGATAATAAGATGAAGATGCATGCAGTTGAGTGAAATATTAATGATATGTCCTTTAATTAATTGTTGTTATCTCTTCAAGATTAAAGATCAGAAAAGGAAAAACTTTTTAAAATAAGCGTTTCTTGGCAGAGGTTACAAAAATAAGTTACTTAGATTATTTTGAAGAAATGTTCAAGATTTGAGAATTTTCAATTACAACTTAACATTTGAAAACAAAATGTAATTATCTGTTTTCCTTAAATATCAAAACCTTAAACCAGATTTAAGTAATTCTTTTAAAGGCAGCTCAATTACTTTTTTGCTTTGATTATATTTCATCGTCTATTGATGTGAAAATCTTGTTAATATTTTAAGTGATTTTAACTTTTAAGAGATACCCACTTGGTAGATTGTTAAAATGAGATTACTTGTTCTGATAAATTAAGAAAATTTGTGCAATATGAAGAAGGAGCTCTCTGATCTGATGCTGTTTTAGGAGGTATCATCATTTTAATGGTAACTAAACGTTAGATGTAGACAGTTATGCCACGTGGCAGATCCTTTGGTCAGGCCATGTGGCACAAGTGCCTAGATGACTTTCAACTTTCTTTGTTTCTGATAAATGACTGAAAATGTGTACAGGTTTGATATGGGGCCCATGGCAGCAGCCAAATTCCCCATATGGGGCCCACCTTCTCCTCCTTAAAGCATGAAATAAATTGTCTGAGAAAATGTTGCAGTAGGCTTACAGTGAAAGAAGTAACAACAATCTGCAGAAGAAGAAGAAGAAGAAGAAGAAGAAGAAAGAAAATATTTCTCTTTTTCTGCTAAGCCTTATCGTTTCTTGGAATAAAATTTGTTGTTTCAGGAGAAAGACAGGAAACAATCATCTTGTTTCAGGTTTGATTTTCACACAACACAAGAACTTCTGTTTTTTAAGATTCTCGATTCTTGTTGTTGTTGTTGTTCTCTGCATTCTCCTTTTTTGTTCTGTTCTTTTTGGTTTCAAATATTGGATGTTGTTTGGAAAAGAGTGAGAAATAAATTTGTTCTATCCATAATTTTTTCTTTTATTCATACAGGGTTTCTGAAGAATAAGAGAATGGTGTGTTTTGCTGCTATGCGAAGGGGGGATTCTGCGTTTTCTGTGGCCATGAATTTGGTTTGCATTTTTCTGTACATTCTATTGGTCTCTGGCCAATCTTCAGATGAGAAAAAGATTCTGCTGGAATTCAAGAAATCTGTTTCAGACCCTCGTGGAATTCTTTCCAGTTGGAATGCAGACAGTTCCAACTATTGCTCTTGGTTTGGAGTGTCCTGCAATTCCAATTTCAGAGTTTCCGGGCTGAAAATTGGAGGTAACTTTTCGGTTTCTCATCAGTGTTCTATGAATTCCATGTTAGCTATGCATGGCATTGGAATACGAAGAAACTGCTCTGAAATGAATGGAAAAATAGTGGGAAAACTGCCGCCTGTTATCGGAAAACTCAAAGAACTTAAGGTTCTGTCACTTCCATTCAATGAACTCGGTGGTGAGATTCCTGTCCAAATATGGGGCCTGAAAAATCTTAAAGTACTTGATCTTGAAGGGAATGTTATTGTGGGGAACTTTTCGGATTATGAATTCACTGGTTTAAGAAAATTAAGGGTTCTTAACCTTGCATATAACATGATTGCTGGGAAATTTCCACCTTCCCTCGCGATATGTAGGGTTTTAAGGATTTTGAATTTAGCTGGAAATGAAATTAATGGTGTGATTCCCGGATTCATTGGTGGTTTTAGGAAGTTACGAGTGCTGAGTTTGTCGTTTAATCAGTTAGTGGGCCATGTCCCAGATAATTTGGGGTATGATTGTGGGAATCTTGAGCATTTAGATTTGTCGGCTTATTTCCTAAAGGGGGAAATTCCGCTTGCTGTGGGAAATTGTAGCCATTTACGGACACTTTTGTTGTCTTCAAATGCGTTATATGGCTTTATCCCTATGGAGCTAGGTGAACTTCGAAACCTTGAAGTTCTGAATGTTTCGAGAAACAGATTAAGTGGTCCCCTCCCTGAAAAGCTCGGAAATTGTATTAATTTGTTGGTTCTCATTCTTTCAAGTCAAATTAATGCTCTCCCGAGCAAGACGAATCCACGTGGAGCAGTGTCTCCCAGAATAGCTGATGCAGCATTAGAAGATTATAACTGTTTTAATGGTTCCATTCCCATTGAGATTACCACACTTCCAAAGCTGCAGATAGTTTGGGCTCCCAGAGCCAACTTTGAAGGACCGACCAATTGGAGCCGTTGTGCTAGCCTGAAGCATGTTAAAAAGTCGCCGAAGCATGCACCTTCTGCATCAAGAAGCCATCCTAAAAGTGGTAAAAACGGAGTTAATCTTCTAGCTAAAGTATGCATAATATCTGCAGCAGTCGTTATTGCAGTTGTTTTGGCTTTTGTATTATGTTATGCAAAAAGGAAAATATCAGATTCAAAGGGTCAGAATACTTTATCACCACAGAGAAGGGAAACTAACTTTTTCAAGGACATCGGGGTACCCTTAACTTATGATGGTGTGGTCCAGGCGACGGGAAATTTTAACAGTAGCAATTGCATAGGAAATGGTGGATTTGGTGCCACCTACCGGGCTGAAGTTTCTCCAGGATTGACAGTAGCAGTAAAAAGGCTCACTGCTGAAAGGTGCCAAGGCATCCCACAGTTCTGTGCTGAGGTCAGGACCCTTGGAAGAATCAAACACCCAAACCTCATAACTTTGATAGGGTATTGTGCCAGTCAAGCGGAAATGTTTCTGATATATAACTACCTTCCTGGAGGAAATCTAGAAGAATTCATTCGGGAAAGAGCCAGAAGAGCTTTTGATTGGAGAATAGTTCACAAGATTGCTCTCGATATTGCCTCTGCACTAACTTATCTGCACGACCAGTGTAATCCACGTATTCTACATCGAGACATTAAACCTAGTAATATTTTGTTGGACGACAACTGCAATGCCTATTTGTCCGACTTTGGATTGTCAAAATCTCTGTCTGCTACACAAACTCATGCTACCACTCGTGTAGCCGGAACTTATGGATACATAGCTCCAGAATACGCAATGACAGGCCGCGTATCCAGTAAGGCCGATGTTTACAGCTATGGTGTGGTGCTGCTTGAGTTATTGTCTGACAAGAAAGCTCTCGATCCCTCATTTTATTCATATGAAGATGGATTCAACATTGTTTCATGGGCGTGCTTGTTACTCAAACAAGGTCAGGCCAAGGATTTTTTCTTCTCATCTCTATGGGATTCGGGCCCACAGGATGACCTTGCGAAAATGCTGCATGTGGCTATTCTTTGTACTCTTGAATCATATTCAGCTCGGCCTACAATGAAGCAAGTTGTGCAGAGACTCAAACACTTTCAACCGCCTAGTGACTAACCAAACAACGGTGCTTCTTCTGAATTTATTCATTCTAGTATTAGAATATATAGAAGATTCTGATTTTTCCTTCATTCAAATTATTAGGGATGATGAGCTTCGATTTACCTTCATAGCTTCAAGTCAAAATCCTGTTTGCAGTTCTGTCATGAACTTGTATAATCTGAATTTCAATTATATAATTTCTGTGTATGGCATAGTAAGAAATTTACTTTGACGTCTCTGGTCTCTCATGTTGTGATAATCAGTTGATTTAAGGCGAAAGTTTGCACTACCAGTGGTGGAGGGACAAGTCTCATGTAATAAGGTTGGTATTATTTTGGTCATTTATCTTCTAAAACAGAAGTGCATGTTTCATAGAGAGATTCAGTAGCATTGAATAGTACTGTGTAAGGCGCATACTCTTTATGCAAAATACAGATGATACACGAGGACTGATAACTGCTCGATTTCACACCTAGTGCATACTCGTCCTCGTTGAAATTCTCTGCCCTTGTTTCATCATTTCAACGTAGCCTCAAAGTAATCCCAGAGCTAATTGGCATCATATGGAATTCTGAGGATGAAAGTTCAGAAATTGGGACTGGATCAAGTATTTTAATTAAGATCCAGCTGCATTATATTTTGAGGTGTCTAAAATGAGCGAGCCTGGTGAGGGTTGGACCTCACCAGGTGGGCCAGGTCCAGACCGAGCCGACCTGCGGTGTAAGCTTTACATGGGCACGCATGGCTTGGAGTGCACGTTTTGACACCAATCGAATTTAGTTTGAGCATACGTTTACAGAAACTATAGTTCTTGCAATGCTATGCTCTTAGGCCTTGGTCCAGTACCCACAAAAATTAATAAATCTAAAGAATTTAGGAATTACGGCATACATAATTCGTTGTCAGCTTGTTCAATTTTGTTCAGTCTAACATCCAAACATTCCTAGGACGATATATCATAAATTGTAGCAGTATATCTATCATAAACGAGAAAGAAACTTCTCTCATCCATAGATCCAATTAAATGTGGCTCATAGTCTCAAATTTAATTGAACTGATTTTAATGTCCTGTATTGCCACGTAAACTAGTGTTTTGTGCCACATGACATTATAAAAAGATATATAATTCATTTAATTGATCATATACTGATATTAGGTAACATTATTGTTTAAGCAATGACTATTTGTACTTTATCTATACCTGAAGAATAATAGCCAACAATATTTTAAGTTCCGGTTTGATACACAATAGCAGGTACGGTTAGATAAAATATTAAATGACATTTAATTTTATACAATGCTACCTAATTCTCATCTTTTATATAATCAAACAATAAAATGTACACCCATTGGTAGATACTCGAGTGCTACAAAAATGTATCCAAGTACCAGTTCTTTGCTGCGGAACCACAAAAGTCGAAAAAGAAACTTGGCCAAGAACTGTTAAACCTCATCTTCTAAAAGCTCAAGCGGTTACAAAGAGAGAAATTTCTTGGTTATATTCTCTACAATCGCTCACGTCAAAACCAAATGCTTTTTCTCATCATTTCATAAATGAATATATAGCACTATTTCAGTGTTTCTATCAATCTAAGCAATGATCAGTAAGAATTAATATTGCTGGCCCTGTATTTCCAGAATGCAATCCACATAGGCAGTTAGGAACAACCAATTTTTTACTTTTCCTTCCAGATATAAGCATCAGTTAAGTATTACATGGTCATTTCAAGAAGAAAAAATAATTAAAAAAAAAAATGCTGAAACAAAGTTGAAAACATTTTACCCCTCGTGTAAGGGTAACTTGCACGCTGCCATTATATCAGGGAAGAAGCATTCGGGTTCACAACTATGTGCTTGAGCGGATTATCTACATCGCTGCCTCCAGCATGCTCAACAAACTCGGCTGGTGAGAGGAAGGTGCCGTGGCATACGCACATTATTCTCACTTCTTCTCCCTTTCCGTATCTGTATAGTATCCCGTCCACTCTCCTACCATTAGGACCATCTCCCTTTGTGAAAACACAAGGCATATCCTCCACTGCATTCGTCCCAATTTCCCTTCCTCGATTTCTTACAACGTCAGATCTCGTAGAAAGACTCTCTGTGTCAGGTCGAGTCATTCTGCTCATATTTTCTCTTGCTTTCGTCCCAGACAAGCCAACACCCTGATTGATTCCCTCTTGCAAAGACTGGATACTGCCGGGGCTCAGTTCACCACCACTGCTGGATCCTGAAATGAAAATGAGGAAACCTCGGAAATAATTACAAGCAGTAGATAATAATTTTGGAACTTTCATGTTCTCTGCAGTCAAAGCAACCCCGCCACTGTCATGTACCCATTGGACGGCAGCCCTTTTTGTGGTTGCTTGGACATAACTAAAGTTATGCATCTATAAAGCTAGAAGTCTAAAATAAATAGCTTTATGTTTCTTAAACAAAATCACTTGGATGCATCTACTGATCTATCTACCTAAATAGTCTTTAGAAAACAGGTAGGTTTTAGCATCAAATCATTAAATGAAATTACTCAGATTAAAAGGTTTAAGGTGCCTTTCTTTTCTTCCACTTCTTTTGGATGGGCAAGGCATTCTCTACGACCGAGACCACAAGTTTGGGAACAACACCTATGTCGAACCCTCGTTCCAAAGTGCCCCTTCCATATAACATGCATAATATGATCAAGTCTGCAAAACTCTGACATTTCCAAGTTTTGGAGTGAAATCCTTTAAACCTCTCAATATTCTTTTATCTAGCATCTAGCAGGGCATAATTCTTCTGTCTTCATAAAAATCTAACTTATCTTTATGCTGGAAAAAATATTACGAAAATATTTTATTTACTAAAAAAACAATTACATGAGCTTTTTACACATTAACGACAAAATAAGTTCAGAAACTGTTTGATTGACACAAGAGTTTACCTCTGTCTCCTTGAGACAAATTTGCACAGCATTGGTGTTCATAAATGTCAAGTAACTCTCAGGATACAAAGAACTCTGTTTGTAATAGTATGACTCCAAATTACAGACAATAATTTCAATTGAACAATGCTTAGCACTCCATTTGACAAGGCTGGAACTCAAACAAGATTCAGAAAATATAACTTGGAAACAAACAAATAGGATCTATCTATAGTTGTTTAAAGTGTTCCTCCGAGTGGACATCTCTGTTCAGAAAGGTGTGTCTTAAGTCTTAAAAGGGCATGTCTCTAGAACATGTCTATAAACAAACAACAATATTTTTAAAAAGACACGTCGTTGAAGGACGCATTTACCATGAAAATATATGCCTATTTGAGAGGTCAAACTAATTCTCAATAGATAAAATAACTGTTAAGAATTGAGGTTCCATTTTAAAAGGTCAATCTTATTAAGAGGAATAACTTAATCCTTTATAAGTTAGTTTATGTTTACATTTTTATACGATGTGGAATTCTATTCCTTAACATGCCCCCGCAAGATGGTGGCTCGTTTGAGCAGACCAATCTTGAAATCCGTTTGCTCACTTTTGGAGTCTTAACTTGATCGAATTTCTCGTTAGAGCTTAATGAGCTCTGGTACTATGTTAAGATTTTTGATTCCATCTTAAAAGGTTAACCTTATTAAGAGGAACACAATCATTTATAAGTTGGTTTATGTTTACATCTTTATTCGATGTGTGATTCTATCCCTTAACAATAACTACACCATATATCACATTTTGATTTGATGCATGTCAACAGCTCACAAGAAAATTATATTCTATGTGTCAACACCTCGTTGGAAATACAGATTTCCACTTTCACCACCAAATTTCCCATTGTCGAACATGTCACTTTGAACTCATTTTCTCGTTCGTTTGAAAATGGTTGAGCATATAAATATATTAGTTAATCTTTTCGCAAAGGAGAATGTTTTTTGATGTGGTCCCATACTAATCAACTTGTAGGGCCTACTCGAATTTGAGCTCAATGTTTTTCAATTGGCACTTAACAAAAACCATTTTTCCTATATACCCTATCAGAAAAAAGGTAGATATTCACCAAAGAAGTCTCACTCCTAAAATTTCTCAAATGCCTTTAGCTAAAGGAGCAATAATGAAGAATAAGCAGCATAATTGAAGTTATGGCAGATAGGATGCTCCAAAAAGCAGACGATAAATTGTGTAACTGCAAATTATTGTTTAAAAATAAAAAAAAAGGATGAACATGTGATAATTTATAGTAAAAGAAAAATGTAGGATGACATATCAAAAGAAAAACACGGGACACAAAAAATCTAAAGAATGTCTAACATATCCTTCATCCATAAAGAATAAGACAGAAGTAATATGTTGTTATAAATGTCATAATCTCACTTTATTTTAAAAGCATTAATTATTTATAATCCAAGTTCCATAAATTTTTCAATGAAGAAACACAATAATTAAGATGAATATAATCCTGTTATGTCATCTAGGAACTATGGACCATCCATATCCCACTTGAAATCCAAAAGAACACACACTAGGAATAATGGAATTTCGGTTATTGTTTTGTGGTATCAATTAGGAAGCACACATAACTTGGACAAATGATTTGATAACCAGACTAAAATTCAAAGCCAAAGGGGCGGCCATAAAATAAGGATATTACTAGTAGTAGCGTAAAGGCCGTAAGTCGAGGGGCGGCCATAACATAAGGCTATTACTTTCACACCTCTCTCTCTCTATCTATAGATATCTATAGATAGAGAGAGATCCGATGCGTGAGCAACCCGACTGTGCCTTACATGTGCTCAAAGTTCAAGTGCAAGATAAAAATGAAAATCAACTGTGATTCAGGAATCTTTAACTGCTTCATCGACTCATTTGAAGGAGTCTTAACATTAAGTAAATGATTTTTCAATTTATAAACAGCATTGAACATAAATTTCAGCAGAACAAGAAATTATAGAAATTGAAATACCTCCAAAAGCTTTAGTGTCGAATTCAGACATACTCGAAGAACTCCCTCTTTTTGATTCCATTGAGTTTTGCATCCCACCACTACCTCCCAAATAATTCCCCTTTCCTTGGACTAGTGCCTCATCAATCCCACCTTGAATGGCCTGATCAGTAGCGGTGGCAGCCCACGTGGACAAACGGAATGGCAAACCTGACCTTGCCGCAGCGGCCAAAGACCTCTCTCTCTCCAATCTCTCTCTCAGATTCACCTCAATTTCCTCTTTCTCCTCCAGACTTAAATTTCCACCACCACGACCTCCTCCTTCTTTGTCACTTTTTAAATTCCTCTGCTTCTCCGACCTCCTCCTCTTAGCCTCCATTCTCCTCAAGGTCTGCAATTGCTTCCTCTTCCTCCATTCCTCCTCTGTCTCTGCGGGCAGTGAAGAGGTCCTCAACAGGCCTGTATAAGCCACCAACGGTGGTGCCACGGCATCATTATCATCTCTCACCACCGGTAAACACTCCGCTACAGAAGAAGACCTCACTAACTTATTAGAACTCTTGTCCACACCAAATCTCCCTCCCAATGACAGTCCAAGATTCAACTCAATCTCCTGATCCTCCTCTTTCATTGTCTCATTCCCACTACTACTACTACTACCCATAAACCTCTGCAACAAATCTCTTGAAAATCTATTTGTTGAAATATCCAAACAAAGTGTATCCATTACAGTTGTTCTTAAAATCTTCTTACCATCATCACCATCCCCCATAAGACACAAATAACATTACTTTCAACAATACTATAATGGCATCTATCTATATTCATATGCATATTCATGTTTAACCACTTCATGATCCGATTCACACAAACCCATGAAGAAAAACATGATCTTGATATGCATATTAAGCCCCCCTTCTTCCAAGATTCAATTTTTATACACAATTCAAGCAAGATTTCGGGTTGCAAGGCAATCAACTTTAACCAATAAATCCACTTTCAAAAAGATAAATGAACTATCTCAGAAATCGAACAAGAAGCTCTAAGAGAATCAATATTAATAAATCAAGAATGAAAATACACACACACACACACACACACGTATATATATAAACACACTGGATACACTGGATTGTTTATTATAATGAAAATTTCAATCGAGACATTGCAGACAGAATATTGTTTTTGTGTGTATAAAAAAATAAAATTGAAGCAAATGAAAAAAAAAAAAAACTCAACAAGAGAACAAGGAAGAAAGGTTGAACGCGGAGGACGGGGTGGGGGGGTAGGGGGCTCAAGGCAAAAGCTTGGAATGGACAAGTGGCGGGAGAGAGAGAGAGAGAGAGAGGTAGAAGGGTGACACGTTGGTCTGAGTGAATAGACCTTTTTTGTAGTGTCTCAGACGAAGGTGTTTCGAGAAAAAAGGTTGAATGATTGGGGTGTTAAGGTATAGTTGAATTGGAATATACTACCTTTGCAACCCTTTCTTCTTGGGTTTTCTTGATTTAAGATTATAAAAATGTGTTTCTATGCCATGTTTTGTAGAAATTAAATTAATTTAAGTCAAATTTCACATTGAAACGAACATTTATAAATTTTGTATGTTCTTTTGTGCCTTAATTTTTCTACCGCAATTTTATTGTTCTTGATAGTATAGAATTAGAATTTCTAATTCTCAACGATTACGATAAAATTATGTTATCATTTCAAAGTTGGGCTGCAATATTTAAATACCTGAATATAAATGACTTTACAACGAGGTACGTGTCCTCCAAAAAAAATCATTAGCTCTTATGTTCGAGATCTTCAGATTTAGAGCGATAAATGGTAACTAGGTTCACTGTCGAAAGCAAATCACAAAGTGGCCGTAAATTTATTTTTTTTTGCCTACCCTTATAGTATAAATTGATAAGCTTTGAGGTTCTTTGATACTCTAAATATAGTTTGTAGTATATTGAAGCCTAGAAGAAAGTATATGTGCCCCTCCCCCAAGTGATAAAAATTTCATATAAATTATAAGATAATTATGTTGGCCTTTGTGACTTGTGCGGATTTTAATAAAGTTTATTCAAATGACAAACTTTTTAAGATTCTCCAAACCTAACATGTAACCACGTGTGTCTAAACTTAAGGTAAAAAGGACATATGTGGGATCCATTTGGGGGACAAATTGTATTACAAACCCGAATCAACCCAACGATTCTTTGATTTTGATTTGAAATGTGAACAAGTAAATGCCGAATATACCTAAAATGGGAAAAGCGAAGAAGAGGTTGGGATGATGAGGAAGAGTTGGATGTCATTATGTTATCTCGCTCAAATTGAGAGAAATAACTAGTTTAGAGTTAGAGTACGTCAGAGATTAAGTTTGAATCAATTTTTTTTCTTTTTTTTTTAAAAAAAATCGATTTGAACATCGACTCAAAAAAGGTAAAAAAAAAAAACCCAAGGTCAATGATTAAATCCAGGTCGAACCGAGATTCATTAGATAATTTTTTAAAAAATAAATAATTAAATTAATTAATTAAAAAAAAAAGTCAAAAGATGAATTTTTGAACGAGTTTTTTTAGGTGATTTTTGTAAATTTAAATCGATTAAACCATAACAACCAATGGTTTTCACAAAACTAGATAGATAGACGAGTTTTTGGATGGTATATTAAAAGATGGGTTTTTCTTCCTAGCTGGTAGGGCCTTGGGCCTGGTTTCCAATTTTACCGACTGAACCTGTTGGGCTGGGCCAATTCTAATTATATTCGTCGAAAGTAAAAACTAATATATTTATGTGGAAATTACACAAAACCCTACTTTTCAAGATTCATATTCAAAAATCAGATCATAAGTTTCATTTTTTAAAAATCAGATATTTCATGTTTATTTAAATACTAATTATACAATTTTCATCACAATCCCAATTAGTTTGCCTTAAACCCTAGCAACCATTTTCAATATTCCTCTTCCTCATTTATTCTTACCGTAATCTCTTGTCACTCGCTCTACCAATCCTCATCGGCTCTGCCACCTTCGTCGGTAGCCCAGCCTAGCACCATCGCCGAGATACAGCACCTCCACAGATCGCGCAGCCTCGCGAGATACCACATCCACAGACGGCGTAGCCTTCTCCTCCCTCTCTTCCGACAGCCCAACCTCTCACCACCGCTGCGATATAGCACGTCCACAGATGGTGCAGCCTCGCGAGATACCAGAAGGGGTTATGCCACCGCACGAGGGTCACCGTTCAGAACTACCGTGCTCGCAACGACGTTGTGGTTTTATGGTTTTGAGATATTTTGGGCATGAAGGATGGCGGCCACGCCAGATTTGGTTATTTTTGTTTGTTGTTGGTGGTGGTTTCCATGGTGTGGTGATGTTTAGGTGGTTTTAGTGGCGATGGTGGATCGGGCGCTGCTGATGGTGGATCTAGAGTTGGTGGTGATGGTGTGTCTGTGCTCTACGTCCTAATTTAGTGGCCGTGTTGTGGAGGTGAGGTGAGGTGAGGTGGTGGTGGTGGTGGTGGTGGTGGTGGATCTGGCGTGATGTTCTGCCATGTGTCGATTTGTTTGAGATGGTGGTAGTGGTTCTGGTGGCGAAGTTAGCAGTGGTGTTGATTTTTTTGAGGTGAGGTGTACGGTGGTGGTATGTTTTGAACGTGGTGGTGGGTCTGTGGTGGGATTGGAGGCTGATTGGAGGTGCGATTTGGCAGCGTCGGGAAAGTTCGTGTAGTGGTTGTGGTCTGCGAGATCTGCGAGAAGTGAAGTAGATCTGTGAGATGAGACAGTGGTTGTTTTGTGGTTGTGTGCAGAGGTGGTGGTGGTGATGTCAAGATGTTAGTGTCGATGGGCCTGTGGAGGTGGTGGTGGATCGATGCGAGGATGTGGTGGTGTTTTCTGTGATGTGTTGATTTGTTTGAGGTTGTGTTGCTGTTGGGAGGTAGTGGTGATGGTGGTGATGGTGGCGACGGTGGCAGTGGTGCTATTGAAGGGAATGATGAGGTGGTGGTCACAAGTTGGGGGTTGGTGGTGGTCATAGATTATTTGGTCGTTTGTGACCATTAAATTGGTTAATCTGTGACCAATAAACAATATGTGATCAATGAAAAAGATAAATTGTGACAAAAAAATAATGTGACCTAAAAAGTTGTTAATTTGTGATCGATAATTTGACAATTTGTGACTATCTACTAAGTCTGACTTATAATATTTGTGATTTGTGACTAATAAATAAGCTGTGACGTATAATTTTTTTTATTTGTGACCGATGAACAAATTATAATTTATAAAATTTTTGAATTGTGATCATAAAATAAATTGTGACTTATAAATTTTTTGATTTGTGACCAATGAACAAATTGTGACATATAAAAATTTTGAATTGTGATCGTAAAATAATTTGTGACGTTTCAATTTTTTATTTGTGACTGATGAACAAATTGTGACCTATAAATTTTTTGAATTGTGACTGAAAAGTAATTTGTGACATGTAAAATTTGTAATTTGTGACAAATTAATACTATGTGACCAATTATATAGAATTTGTGACCAAATTATAT